AGTCGGTCGACTATCGAGACACAGGGGTGTCCGTTAACGTGGTTGGCGAGCCTCGTAGAACGGTAATTTAAGACTTTCGATGAAAATACGAAGACATCCCCCCGAAGATGTCCGCGAGGAATATCTGAATGCCGCGCGTGGGCAGCGAAGCGAGTGTGTGCCTTCGGGCATTCGTCCCTTTCTCCGCCCTTCTACTACCTCTCGTTCCATCGATATCGAAACATGCGTACGAAGCTACACGGAATAAGAATTCGTATTTTCGATCGTCCTTCGCTTTCGAACCTCTTCGATTCGCTTATGCACCTACGTTCACGACGTAAGAAGGTAATAATTTTCATCGAAAAGCCGATCCCTGCTTGTGTGAGCAAGCCCGATCAACGTTTTAAATAATAACAAAAAGAATATATTCTATTTGTATATTCTTTACTTTTTTTTCTATCTTTTTTTTTTTTTTAATCCATTACATAAATTAATAATAAATATCCATGCAAATAGGAGTAGTTAGTTAGATGATATATTGATATTGATTAAAAGAGATAAATAGATGGTAATGATTCCGTCGATAAATATTGAATAATGAGTAGATTATAATCATCAAGAAGAATGGTCTTCTTATTTGCAAATAAGGTTTGAGTGAAAAAGAATTAAATCAGGCCACCTGCCTGGCCGGTCGATTTCGTTCCCTCTTACTACCTGATTCTAATTCTATCATACCTTATTGGTTACTCCTTTAAAGACAGAGTATCCCGCGGCGATATCCGTGGTATGTACCGACTAATAAGTATTAGAAGAGTGTTTCTAAAGATTTTTGGGCTTCTGTAAATACACGTTGTAAATGACTAAAATTATATATACCTTATACACCTAAGGCTGAATTGTGTTATGTAAATCATATAGTTAAAAATTAACATAATCATTCGAAACTTGTTGAAAACTTGGCGAATAACGAAATTATTATTTATCAGAGAGCGTCGGATTAAGGAAAACGTAAAGCTAACGTAACTTGAATCGAAAAGTGTTCCGTTTTAAGGGATCGAGCGATGAGAATCTTGCGTGTGTAGTGAAATACTTATAATTACAGCCTGCTGCGTTATGCAAAATGAGAATTGCGACTTCCCCTTCGATACAGCGTTAAAATGCGAATAAACACGACGCCAAGAATTTCTTCTACCTTGAATATAAGTTTGATTGCGAGCGGAATTAAGAGAAACAATTCATTTTTATTTCATAAAATTTGGCTCTGAAATATCGCGTAAATGATAATTAAGATAAAGGAAGATCAAAAAATACCTTTATAATTAATAAGAAAAGGACTGAAGGGTTACTTCTCAACTTATTATTAAATATATTTTCACTTAATTGAGATTTCTTGAAAATATAACAAAAATGTCATTATACCAATAATTATCACGACACGCAAATTTTTAAAGCAATGTGTTTTCAAGAAAAAAATATCGATGAAAAATAAATCACAAGGGACACGTCTAAAGCAATTAGGCAATGGTCTTCCCAGGGTTCTTCCAAAATGATTCTTGGAAATACAAAAAGCTCGTGTGACGCGCGAAAGGAACGATTATTCGGATCGATGGTGCGAAAAGCAAATGGCCGAACTTCTTCTCGCTTAAAAACAAAAATGACTAGGATGAAAGAAGAAAATGATAGGGAAAGAAATAAGTAGAAAGAGAGAGAGAGAGAAAGAGAGAGAGAGAGAGAGAGAGAGAGAAAGAGAGATAGAGTAAAAGAAAGAAAAATGGCGAGAGAAGGGCGCTCCCTTTCATCGATGCGGGACAAAAAGGGTTCGATCGAAAGTCTCAAAACCCCGGGAGACGGTGGTCATTATTTGTTTTAGATATTAATGCTCTCCACGGACTATCGATAATTCACTCTCAGCTTTCTCAACGTAATCGCACGGTGTGTGTGCTCTCTCTCTCTCTTTCTTTTTCTCTCTCTATCTTTTTCACTCTTTGTCCGTAATGTACAACGTATATAAAAGAGAGATAGAAAAAGAATAAGGATACAGCATCTAAGAGAAAGGATAAAGGAGGAAAGAGAGAAAGAGGAGGTCCGTGTAAACGATAAATCACGATAAATACGTTTGCCCAGGCCCATTATAAAAGGAGGAAGAAGGAAGGAGGAAGAAAAGAAAAGAAAAGAAAAGAAAAAAAGAGTAAGAAAAGGAGGGGAAGGGAATCCGCACGATCGGCCAGGCACGGGCGAGTGCTCACGCGCGGGAGGAAGGAAAAAGAAGGTGTACCGATATAAAAGGGAGAAGGGTGAAGGGGTGGGCGGTCTTGCCCCACCGATATGCGATCCTCTCCCCGGGGCAACTTTCTTTTTATTTTTTTTTMTTTCTTTCTTTCTTTCTATACCAGTGCATCCTTTTCTCCGAGAGCCGCGCATTACGATCGCTTAAGTCTCGACTCGACTATCGAGTGATCCATCGCCTACGAATTCGACGAAGCCTCCCGCCTACCCTCGGGACATCCTCGACTAATGAGTGTGTCTCGATCGTGAACGACCAGTCTCTCTCTCTTTCTCTCTCATTCCTTTCTTCTCTCCTCTTCCTGATACCGCTTCCAGGTGCGGTCTCTCGGCGTTTCTCCTTAAAAAGGATTCCAATTAAGAGAACCTGGTTCGAGCGACCACTCGCGTCTCCACTCGCCATTCTTTCTCTTTCATGTGAATATCAAAGACGACAGGTGGCCCAGAATAGTTTGCTGAAGCCTACGTGAGACAAGAGGTAAAAAGAGAAAAAGAAAAAGAGAGAGAGAGAGAGAGAGAGAGAGAAAGAAAGAATAAGATGAAGATGTAAGACAAAGCAAAGAGTATAAGCACTGTCCTTTAAAAAAATTTCTTGTTTATCTAGAAAAATAACACAGATACATATGAGCATATAAGTATACGATTTTACGAGCCATTGCACAGTCTTGTGACGATAGAAGGTGTAAGAACGATAATTTTGTGCATTCCAGAGAAGCTAGTCTGGTCTATGCCACCGATAATGCTCGGTAAACGTGTTATGGAAGAAGAAGAAAAAAAGAGAAAGAAACAGTGAAGGAAGAAGAAAGAAAACGAAAAGAGAGATACGAAGATGAGAAAGAGAAAGAGAGAAAACGGGTAGGTAGATACCGGAGCCTGCGGGGGGCTCATAATTGCCGACCCTGAAGATCGGCCGACCCCATGGGGCCCTCCTCTGTTTGTTTTATTCCCTAGTTATACAAACGCGAGATCTACGACCGATATATGATAATCGTACCTCTGCTTCTTCCAGTCCCTTTTGGATCTCGTTTCTGATCTCCAAGTCTCTTTCTATCTCTCGTTCTTTCTTTCTCTTTCATTTTATACCTATCCATCCGTCCGATCTTCTCGCCACTATTCTCTATCAAAGTGACCACCCCCACGAATCATAAGCATGGACACACGTCCAAATCAATTCCAATGAAAACCAATTATAATAGTCAACGAGATAGCAAACAGAGAGAGAAAGAAAGAAAGAGAGATAGATAGATTGTCTTCCATGGAAGCTTTCGCCACGTCTCATCGTTTATGGATCCCGTTTATTCAAATTCATGGCTACCTGGCATGATTAATATTCTTCCTCGTGGCCTCGGCTACCATCGCTTTCCCACGAAAACGATTCAACGTCGCGAGTAGAGAAAGAAGGACGAATACGCGTGCTCACTCTACGATTACCACTGCCGATGTTTCGATGCTCTCTCTCTCTCTCTCTCACTCACTCTCTCTCTCTCCCCGTGTTTGATGTTCTCTCTTTGGTTAAAAGGACACTTCGAAAGATAAATGCCTTCGTAAATCACTTTTCGTTTTCTTACCTTTACCCTCTGACCTTCACGACACCACTACCTCAATAATCTTACCTTAGACGCAGAACCAAACGTGGATTCTTGCGGTTCCTTTCGATCCGAGCTCGGTCAACTTCCTGGTAGAAAGGCAAGCTGTCTTTCCAGGATATTAATATAAAGGCGGGATGATATTAACTACCTTAACTTATCGAGTATGAGTTATTGCAAAAGTATCGACAAATTTAACGATAAATATATTATAACTGTTAAACGATCTTCCAAGATTTGAAAAAAAAAAAAAAAAATTAATAATACAGGAAAACAAAACGGATCGATCATGAAATCTTGTATCGAAGACACCACAGAGGAGGAACGCTCTACTGCTGAACAACTCGTACGCTAATGCTCGCCCCTACGTGGAACCGGTTTTCGCATTTACGATTCAATTTCTGAAAGGCTCGACGATACTGGACGAGGAAAATCTATCGTTGAAACGGCCATTGTATTCCTTCGGGCATTGAAAAAATGAAAGCAACAAATAAGAAATAAGAAGGTCCATTTTCGTTCGTGTCCACGTTCGCGAACGGTTGGGTTATCGTTTCGAAACAACGCCTAAGCTCATATTTCAAGAAGATAACTTTACGAAGGTAGCAGGTTGCGCCAAATACATCTTATATAGAAGTGCTAATCTAAATGTTAGGAAAAGAGAGAGAAAGAGAGAGAGAGAGAGAAAGAGAGAAAAGAAGTAAAGCCAAGTAATTAACTATCGAGATTACGTGAACCATATGTCACGATGTAAAACGCATGTGGTTAGTGTCGCCGTTGGTCAAGATAAAACCAAACGAGACCAACGTAAACGTGATACTAACTCGTGAAAGTCGTTAAATTTACGTTCCCTTGGTTTATACGTACTGCTCGCAAATGATATGTAAACCCTGCGGCCGAACGACGTAATATTGTGCATACGTTGAGGAATATTTTTGTTGGTATGATCTTAAGGTATGGAGTGTCTTATTAATTTAAAAATCTTCCGATTATCTCACAGCATGCGATCGTAAAGTCGAAAATATGTTGAATATCCAGAAATTCAACTAATTTATGGTAAATACAAATGTCACTAGTTGGTAAAAACATTTTGTAAAAATGTTTTCTGATTTTTTTTTTCCTTTGTACGTTTTGTTAACAATTAAAAATACTTACCTCATTGTCAATTTTCTTGAATTCCACGTCCTCTTCGTCTACCTCGAAATATAGCTCCGTTGACGTGACGGAAATAATTCCAGGCGCAACTATTCCCGGTGCAATTAATTTTCCTTTCGTACTAATATTTACTGGACCTAAAAATGCAAATTAATCTCATTTTTCTATTATATTATCCGCTATTATTTCTAAGCAAATAATTTTTATAAGCAATTTGTTGCCAAGTCTTTTGTTAAGAAATATAATAAAGGTCAATAGGAAGAAAATAGAAAGTTAAATAATAGATAGTAACCTGTTAAGTCGTTGTCGAGATCTCTATCATCCGAGAGAAGCTCGCTGTCGTCCATTAGATCCGCCGACTGCAATTGTTGCTGATGTGCACGCGAGGCTGCGAGATGCGCGTGAAACTCTTCCCGCGCCTGAAGGATCGCATCCTCGGGTGCACCGTGTTCAAGGGCTGCCTTCAGCGTAGCTTCGGGATGGCTCGAGCCTAGTGGATTGTGCACGAAACGCTTACGTCTACGTGCATCATCCTCCCAAGCATCTAGCTTCCAATATTCGGCCAGCCTAATAAACGTACGAAGAATTTAAAAGAACTTCTTTATCTCGTTTCTTTTTTAATTTAATTCGTAATAACGTGTGATAAAAGATTGACTCACTTTGCAGCCATTGGATCCATGTAACCCCAGGCGCCATGTTTGTTTGATAAAATATTACGAACTTTTTCAAGCAATCTACTTGCGATCACGTTATCTCGTCTCCGTGCTGCTGTAATCAAATGATCGCACATTCTTTCCTCTTCTCGTCGATCTAACAACGTTTGAGCGCACTGTGACTGTAATAATTAATATATTGTTATTGATAATTGTCGAAAATAGATTATTTAAAAAATGTAATTTCTTTTTATTTTGAATAGAATTACCTCAAAGTCCGCGTGTTTCAATACATCGTCTGCTCTCATTCGATTTAAAATAAATTCTGCTTCGTTAGCAACTCTTACTATATGATCTTTCATCGCGTGGGACAACAATCTGTAGAAAAGATATTGAAAAAAATTTTAATAATAATTCTTATCTTGTATCATTTGTTTGTTTTTTTTTTTTTTTTTATAAATCTCTTTACCTGCCCTCGTTGATGAGCTCGATAAAAGCAAGACCAGCATATTTTTGTAAAGAATTCTGCCATTCCTGAGAACACAACAGCATCACTAGTTCTACCACGGAATTGCTGTTCTTGAACGTGGTTAAGCCTATTCAAGAGAAAGAAGAGAAACCGTTTAAGTGTAAAGACAAGAAAAAAGTATGAAGAGAGTTTGAAAGAGATGGAGAAAGGAAAAAGAGGTGATTTACAAGCACTGTTCGATTTATCGTTCTGCAATGACGGAAAAAATAAACGTCCATCGAGAATGTGACACGACGATCGTACGCGACGTTGCGCGAATATCGAGGCTTCGTGTGATCATAGTGAATACCAATGATGATGATCGTCGCTTGAACAACGATAAATTTTTTTTCAACGACATAACGAAATTTTCCTTTTTAAAATGATAAACAATTTCTACGTGAAGAAATAAAATATAACTGGCTGGTTAATGACGTGTCATGATAATCAGAGAAGAAAATATAAAAACTATAATATAAAAAGTATATTACATGACGCATGAAATATACGATCACGATCAAGTTCCAGTTAAAATTAATTACAAGCTCATACCTTTCCCTTCCATTAAAAGTTCTTGTCCGTGCGATCCGACTAACGTTTTTGAAAGGAAGGGCGCAAAGTCGACCATAATTTCTCGAAGAAGAGGACAAACAGAACCAAGCGCCATTTCTAACTTTTGTGTAAGCGAAGCTTCTCTTGACGGTGTTGGTACAGGAAGATGATCGACCAATCCTTTGATCGGTAGATCGTCCGGTCTCGGAGATGCCGGATTGACAACCAATCTATCCGGTACACGAACTACGGAAATTTCAGCTGTAGGTTTTTCTCCTCGTTCCGCACTTCCAACTATCTCTTGGTCCAGAACGTTATCTTCGTTGTTTTGAAGATCACCTGAATTTGAACGCATCAAAGATTAAAATGTATATACTTTATTAAAACATTTAATTGAGTGTATCCAATTATTATTATATTTTATATTTTACGTTTCCACATAAAAAGGTATTGAGAAACATTTAAAAATATTGTGCAATACTTAGTAAATTATAGTTACTTTAATAGAAATTAAATATATCAATAAAATATAAATCATTATGATCAACTTTAATTTGCTTTTATCTTTAGGTTTAATCAAATAAAAGATGCATAGAAAAATATTGCAATGACAGATAAGTCTTACCTCGAGAATGAGCGATGTTATGAATATTTCGAGGATCCTCTCGAGGATTTGGTATGGGTACAGTGTCACCATCCTCGTTCAAATTCACGTCGGTCCAGGCTTCCTCAGATGAATTATGTTTATTCTCGTTATCCGTCGTCACTTCCGACGGACTTGGATCCGCAGTGATGTTGCTACGATGAACAGCCTCTTCGCTGGAGTCGTTGCTCTAAGAGAAAAGTCAAATAATTTGGATAAACTTTTTTTGTTCTTTAAATTAATTTAATTAATCAAGAATCTCCTTCAATTCGAACAGCACAAATAATTTCTTCGCAAAAATTCTTAGATAATAATAATTATCCGTGTTCGTAGAAAAATTTCGATCGATGTATTCGATGTTTTTACGTTTTTATGCGTATATGAACTTTTTATTTGTGTAATAAAAAAAAAAATGTGAGAAATGTTTTCTTTTTTCATATATCGGGAATATCTACTGCTACTAATACTAATCGATTATAATACTACTTGCTTTTTATTTCAAACAAACGACTTTAATTGGTAGCCTACGTTCTCTTAAACACATCAACTTTATAATTTATTCACGATATATAAATATATATATAATGTATAGGTAATTACTATTTACGAACACAATATAATGTAATTTATGTATGTCCAGATCTTCTTGTTGAAAAAAAAAAAAAAGTTCTCCCGTGCTACGTAGTTACTGTGACATGCAATATCGTTAATACATTGCCAAAACGCAATCATCTAATATAATAATAGATTATAGTATATATATATATATAATATATATTTAAAACAAAAATAAAATTAATCAAGCCTCTTTCATTTTCAAGCTTCGACAAAAAGAAAAGAATAATCATTCTACCCAGATTGTATATTAGATTTAATTTATAGCATATATTATATGTATACACACGTGTGATTTCAATATGAAATCAATACAATACGTTTATGTATATGTATAAATATATGCTATAAAAAAAAACATAAATTATAATATAGTATGCATACGTTTCGTATCATGGCAAAACATTCGTTGTTCAGATGAAGCTTTTCAAATATTTGATTAAGAGAAAAATGAAAAGGTAGATTATATTAGCCAAAAAAAAAAAAAAAAAAAAAAAAAAAAAAAAAAAAAAAAACAAGATAATTACTTTAGCTTAACCCGTCAAAATGGGTGTTGCGATATCCGTCTTTTTGATTTTTACACGCAAATCAAAATTCTTCGTAACGTTTAATTAAAATGTGAAACTATTTCGGTGCTTTTTCCAAAATTTATTATTCGGAGAATAATTATAGATAAGGACAGATAAATAGTGGAATAGAAATAAATGAAAGAGGGTTAGATAAAGAGAAAAAAATAAAAGGAAAAAAGAAAGAAAGAAAGAAAAAAAGAAAGAAAGAAAAAAAGAAAGAAAGAGAGAAATATAGAGGAAAATATGTGTGAGCTCGCGTATTTTTCTCTTCTCATTTCAAGTATTTCCATCCTTCTCACGGGTAGTCTCTGATTGGATAGCTTTACCTGAAGATTTCGTGGCAGTGGTTCGGACCTCGTAGAAGAGCCAAGCGTTGGTTCTGACGAGGTGTAATCCTCGAGAATTGTCCGTGGTCGAGGTACACCACTGTGACCTCCCTTCAGAACCAGTAGTTAGTACGCATAGCAATGCAAGCAGAGGAAGTTAACGATGAGAAAAATTATAGAGTACAGTCACTTTGCATGCTTCGAAAGAATAATCGAGAAAAAAAGAAAATAAAAGAAAGGAAAACTTTGTTCAAATTAAACTACGATATAGAAATATATATATATATAGAAATATATATATATGGGTATATGGTAACACATGTGCCAAAAGTGCGAGCACATAGAAATTCAATCTTTTTAAAATGTTCTTAAATTATTCATTTTGATGATAAAAGAGAATATATAATAAAGGGGTTGTGATAACTATCTCTTTACATGCTACGGTAATACGATGAACTAAAAAATATTCTTTAGTGGTTATAATGACACTACTAAAGTCAGTGCTTAACACCCAATTAATTGTTTTAACAAAACATGCCGTACACATCAAACATACTTAAAGGCTTCTTAGGATACTAATCAATTTACTATGGATCCTATTGGAATTGAAAACCTAATATTATTTTAACGACGAACTACATTGTCCCCAATTTGATGAGAGATTTTATTTGTATTATATTTTCATTATTCAATATATTTTGTAAAAATTATAAAAAACTAATAAACAAATAACATTTTTGTAGTTAATCTCAAAGAATCCTTTTAAAATATTTATAGGGTAAGTATAAATGTTGTGCTGTTAACAAACGTGTGTATGTGTTTGTGCGTGCTTTCAACTCTACATTAATGTTCGACTAATTATATTTATTCAATGTTTTAATTAAATATCGAAAAGCTTTATTGCAACAGATTCGTATATATTCATCACGAAAATATTTTACATAGAAAGTAGAAAACGTGTATCTACATTAATTTAATCTACGTTTACCAAATTACGTAACCTACATTTAAAATAGTTTGAAATTTCAATCAACGACTGTGATTTGAATAATTTGATAAATGCGCATAAAATATTTTTCTAGATACTCTAATTAAATTGTTCTGTAAATTGTATTGTGAATGAATATGTATTTTCCTTTATTTGATATCGTCTGCATTTATAAAGTATCCTAAAATTTAAACAAAAGAAAATATAATAATTATTTTATCACGTATAAATATGATTAAATAATAGTGAATAAGATAAATGCGAAGCACACTGTGCACTGATTAACATTGCTTTATTTACAGCAAATGTATCAAAGATTATTGTGCTTCTTTGAGGAAGAGTGCCAGGATTTTTTTCATTAATTATATTATAATATAAAAATCTAATATTGAAAAATACTAGCAACACACAAAGGTTTGATAATGTATAAAAAAATAATACGAAAAATTTTTCAAATAAATCACACGAATATAAATATTTCAATTCTTTTCATTTATACTAATGGATTATTAACATGAAAGATATATTTATAATATTAAATATACATTTATATCGTTCCATCGAAAAGGGAAACATGCAGTTTCGAGTAAAATTCGTAATAACTCACGAAAATCTATAATCTTTGTTTTCTTATTACTTTATAAAAGATATAATATCTATATCATATTAATCGACTATAATCTTATATAATTCATAATATCGACGATAAAATATACTAAACCATTAACAGAGAGACAAATGAATTATGATAAATATTTGGTACTATCTTTACCTGAAAAGATCTTCTGAATTTTTAACTGTTCCCCCAATACACGTACGTTTCATACGAATTTTTTGTTTATCGAATCACACGATGACTACTTCTTGTTTTTCCTTTTTCTTTTTTTTTCTTTTTTTTTTTTTTTTGTAAGAGATCGATATTAAAAAGCATCGACAAAGGACTTACCTTGGTAGATGGTGGACCGGACGACGTAACGTCCTGGTCGGCCAAGATGGAGGAATTATTTTCGTCCACTATAATAACTTCGTATTCTCCATCATCTTGAGAACCGGACTGGCTTATCATGCCTGCGCTCCCTGAAAGCACGATTCACGAATGTTAGGATCGACCATTAATTCATATGATTTATGTACCGAATCTCTTTTTTTTTTTCAAAGGTCATTTGACATCGAGATTCGTATGATCGACGTTCAATGAAAGAAAACGATTCAAACAAGAAAACTATTTGTAATTGATCTTTTAAAAATGCATATTAAAGTATATCAATAAAATGAAAATTTATTTAGTATTTTGTATTCGTTGACCTTGTCCTAAATGAAGTATATAATATATTTATTTATTAATTAAATGTTAATTAATTATAATATAAAATATTACAATTAAGTAGAATTCTTACGTTGTACGTCGATTAGGCTAAATCAATAAAGAGAACGATGCGTACAATGCAACTCTTGAAACACAGCTAATTGTAAAATATATATTTATATATACGATTAAATTGTAACAACGAATTTTTAGGCTATTGCATAACATAAACGATAACTCTTTGTTTTTTGTTTTTTATATGTTTTTAATCTTCAACATCAATTTTTCATTCCGATAAGCATAACAAAAATCGATTCATGCTGCTAATACGTTCTTTTCTATAGATTTTTTTTTGTTCGGTTAACAAATATAACACAACGTAATCGAGCATAATGCAACGAACTTTGTTTCCAAAATATCCAGGAGACGATTCTTTTATCAAAATTCTTATCTAAATACTTCGATTTCTTACATTCTAAATTATTTTTTTTTTTTCCGATGCTTTTTTATATATTATATAACATAATATATCGTGCATTGTGTGAACTTAACATCGTGCCATACGTCCTGGTGTTTTATCGAACATGCTGAACATTGTATCCTGTTGAGCCATAAGCGAACGATGATCATGCGATAAAAAATCATTCACAAAATATATTATAATGTCTTATCGTGTTTTTTTTTCTTTCAAAAGGATATCTTAGGAAAAGGATAGTTAACAGGTTTAAATAATGTACAGTGTAGAATATGACTGAGGTTTTAAAATAATATAAAAAATACAACGTAAACAATCCTAATTTCTAAAAACATAATAAGCATCGATATCGATCTTGCCCAATATATAAAGCCTTTTGAAAATAATTACACGCATATTAACTCTGTCCTATGCAAATGAAAAAGAAATAAACTACTAAAATAATATACGAAACTAACCGTGCAAAGGATCCCAACAGGTTGTTATGGATCCAAGCAAACGAAATAAAACGAAACTAAAGAGATAATGATCTCGCAAAAGAAAGTAACCAAAATTCAATATCCATCGATCGAGGAGAAAGAAGGCAGTGTGTCGTATCCATTAATGAGCAGTGTTGTGCTTGCGAGCAAGAAGCGAGATAACGAAAACTCTGATCGAAGATAAATGAAAATATAATAAGTCATTCCACAAAAGGTGAAGAATAATAAAGAAGAGCGTTCGAGCAATCGAGATTACCTTGCAGACCGACAGCGGAGTTTCTATGACAGAGATTTCGGGGCTGATCTATATGTTTTTGAAGCGTATGGTGATGGTTGTTGTTATTGTGATGATGATAATGATGGTGTCGATGATAATTATGGTTGTTCGGGTGATGATTGTAATGGTTGTTATGGTGATTCGGGAGATAATAGCTGGAAGGTGGCTGGCGATTAGAGTGCCTGGCAGCCGGTAGCGGGTGCTGGTGGTGGTGCTGGCTGATGTGATGGTTGGCATTGGCATTGGCATTCGTATTGGCGTTAGGGTGAGATCCCGGGAGGAACTGTGGGTACACGTGGTGAGACCACTGTGGAAACAGGGGCCGACCTCCTCCACCACCATTCCCATCTCCTGGGGAGGGGAGAATCATGTTTTTTTAACCAACTCCTTTAACACATCGCTAATTCATTCTTTTTTCTTTATTCTCATTATTCCTTTATTATCTTTCATTTTCTTTCGATCACGTCTTTCTTTCCGAAAGATCATCTTCTATTTCTTTCTATTTCTTTTATATTCCTTTTTCATTTTTTTTTTTATTTTTTTTTATTAGATGGGGTGAAATCAAAGGAAAGTGTAAGAAGAAATCAGGAAACTCAGGATAACATTACAGAGTAATTGCTTAACACGTTCACGCCGGGATGTACCACCAATGGTACACTCATAAATATCCCATAGAGCGGTTTGTACCACTGACGGTGTATATATGGATGTCCCATCGGTCAGTTTGAACCACTGGTGGTACAAATGTTCTTTTGACACAAATCAGCGCCGTCCAGTGGAGAAATATACAGGTAATAGAACAGTCCAATGGCGAGACACATAAGATATAATATTTTTACCGTCGTAAACGTGTTTAGAATGTAATGTTACTATCAATATTGGATTTTTATTGATTGTTACCAACAAAAATGTTTCAAATGAATATCTTCTGTGTCTTGATCTATGCGCATAGAAATGGTTACGTATTGCAAGATTACGTATATAAGTACAGCTGAAAAAAATGACATAATTTGTGGAAATAAATAAAAATTACGACTGCGTAATAAATAACGCGATTCTGCTTTTTAAATATGATCCAGTCTTATGAAAAATAAAATACGCGAACGCTTCTTTATGCAAATCTAACGATGGATAAACGATTTCCTTTCGTTCCAATCTTAAAATTTGATATTGTCGAAATATTGGAAAATAAAAAATAATTTTCTTTCGTAATTGAACGTTAGCTGCCAACGAAATTAAAAAAACAATATATAATATAGAAACAATACAGAAAAAAGGTGCAAAAACATTCGACATACATCAAAACCCTCACTGTCAGATACATAGAAAAAAATTAATATCTCACACACTAGTGCAATCGTACATGCGTTCTATCTAGTGTTCTGTGCTAATCTCTTGATTGCAACTATGCGGTTCTCAGTGCATCGTGTTTTATATATAAATAAATATTGAACTACGACGTTTAGAATTATAATATAATAACGATTATATATTTAGAATGAAAAGTTTTCTATTTTTTATGGAACTTCAATGAGAATTTTTTGGTTTTTGTTTTCATTCAATGTAATTTTAATATTTCATTTTGGATGAATTTATATCCAATGATCGTATTAGATCATTATTTGGTCAGACTAATAAATCTCCAAAAATGAATAGGAAATAAAAGTTCGTTTCTAGCTACATTAGGGCACAGACTATTCTTTGTCTTAAATTTTTTTTTTTTTTTATCAAGACTTACGATTATAAAATACATGCTTATAATATAGAATAGTCATGCTTTGGAATGTCGTGTTTTAACAAAGATATAGGAAGAAATGTGATCGTCCATTTATAATCGAAACAATCGAAGTGAAATAATTGGAAGTGAATTAAATGATGGAACATATCTGACATGTAAGAGTTTTGACCAAATAAATTGTTAATACTTATTTACAAATATCTAAAATTAAAAGAAAAAAAAAATTAAAAAAAAAATATATCAACATGTTTTTTTTTTTTTTAATTTTTATATGAAGATCTTTTAAAAAAGAAGAAAGAAAGACGAGACCGACCATTGTCCATCAATCTTCTACGCGCTCTCACATTGAAAATTGAATTATCAATTAGTTTTAGATTAGCATATACATATACCCATGTTATTCCTACTTGAAATATTTGTAATAGAAAAATCGAATCTATCTTCAATCTGTTTAAGAAATATTTCAAAATATTGATTAATTTTGAATAAAAATCTTTATTGTCAACCCATATATCAATTGAATAATAAAAAATCACGTGATATCTTACCTGAAGGGCTACCCGGTCTCAACCCGGCACCATTAGTTTGTATCGTCTGAACAGGACTTGGTGGACGTTGAGATATCGGTGGTTCCAGAATATCGCGATACTTCGAGACCATTAGTACAGAGATGAAGTAAACTATAGCCAGGGACAGAAACTGTGCCTGCTTGGTTTCTTCCTGTAAAATGATAAAATCATAAATTACTTTATTATTCATCTAATTTCTTCGAGCAAGTTCCTCGTCGAGTCTCTAATTCACGGTGAAAGAAGGTATTATCGAAGTTTCGATAAGATCGATCAAAGTACATTATGTACTTACAACATCTCTGTATATCACAGCTCTCAAGCGATTCACATCCATGTCTTGAAGTAATTTTTCCGGATCCTTCACAGGACTTAACTGATGAGCCAGATTATCCACTATGTTCTATAAAGGAGCAACGATATTCGATATATAAATATAAAATATTGCATCCGCTTCTAAAAACTCTATAGTGCGCTGACATGGGAAAATGAAAAAACTAAATAAAAAAAAAATAAAGAAAAAAAAAGAAAAATAAAAGAAATACTCCAAAATTAGAACGGATAAACACGTAAAGGATTTGAAATGATATTTCTAAGAACCATCGTGCTCTACCGCGAGTTACGATGATACTAATTAATACTATTCTAAATGTTTCTAATGTAAGCTGAATTATGACAATAGGAAGTAACGTACCTTGGGCGATGTCTGAGCTCCTCGTATTAGAGACTGTATATGCTGTGATTTATTACTAGTACCAATCTGTCGACCTAACATGCTGTACGATCTGCCACGCTCTTTACACTCTAAGCAGTTTCTAACGGCACATGTACAGACCTATAGAAGCATTTTATCAGAGACATATATATGTATGTAAAAATAATTGTATTAGGGTATGGTATTTTAATGAATCTTTAGTATGTATATACATATGTTTGAAGTTAACTAAATGCGAGAAATTACACAGAGATTTCACAAGCGAAAATACACAGCCGTGTATTTTTAAGAATGAAAATCATTTTTGACTAGCTTTGTGAAACAAAATTGTTGTGAATATGTGTGTGTGTGTTTGTGTGTGTGTATATGCATGTTTGTATATATGTGTGTATGTATATATGTACGAGTATTTCAAACTAATTAATTAAACATTTATAAGAGACAACACAATCTCTGCAATATACATTATCGTTGACTAAATTTTGGTTGATAAGCAGTTTACTGTAATATGAAAGTTCTGTGATTTCTACAGAGAGACATTTTTTTTACTCATCGCCATATATCATATGACAGATTATGAAATATAGTAACACATGTAATGTGGGATATTGATACGAGGTAAACTACATACATTTATTCTATTTCAGTACTAATGCAGTATTGATTCCCACACTACCCATGTATCATGTTTGTCGAATTGGAATTATTGATTTTTGATACTTATGAATATGTATGTAATGTGCATTTCTAACGTTTATGATTATTTCTGTCCAATTTCAATGTTTTTCACAAATCTTATTTGTATTATTGATACTCAATTAACGAAATAGATGTTCGATTATACCATTTCATTCGATAAATGCGAATGAAAGACGATGAAAAGAAATTATGAAGAAATTGAGAATGAGAAAAAAGGATGAACGATACAAACCAGTCGCAAACACTGTCTTAGAATTCCACCGCTGGACATGTTCTTCTCAGCCTCGAGTTCACCGAAATTCAAGGAGCTTGCGAAGATTAGCACATCAGCCATGTTGACTAACCTTTGAAGAAATGAAACTGCTACTTCTATCGGCATCCCCTGAGTTGGTTCAATTACATCTAACTCACTCTGTGAATATCAAATCATATATAATAACATCCAAATATAAGAAACATCATTGAATTATTTAATGAACTATCTTGGAAATACGTACGTTTGGCGATGTAGCAGAAGCTAAAAGTGGTAACAGCCCACCACAAGCTATGATAAGATTGTCAGCTAATTGAGAGATCAAATGAACAGTATTGACTACGAAAATTGCATTTTCGCTACTATTCACAAAGTCCAATACCGATTTTGTCGAATGACTATAAAAAAAAAAAGCGTACAAAAATACATTTCCCGTTAGTTTCATTTTTTCATATTTTGTAATATAAGTGTTTGAATAAATTACCTTCTCCAAACTTGAATATCTGTTTCGAGAGAAAAGAGAACATCCGATAATAATCGCTGATGAATGTATGACCATTTAAATTCCGGTATTCTGAATGGTGGCCGGGTAGGCCCTGGACTGAACATTGGTCTGGTGGAAGGATTTCCTTGCTTAGTTCTTTTCGATTCTGTAAAGAAATGATGTTTGATTAATAAATTCTGTAACTTCTCTATCTTTTAGATAAAAAAGATATATACGTGAAAAATATTAGAGTAAGAACGTACCGAAATGATTCGGATCCACTTGTGTGGACGTTGAGGCACTCCTTGGTCTTTTCTGGGGTGATGATGTCTTTCGTAAGGGAACAGGTAAAGAAGGAGGGTCCTCGGCATTGCTCTCGGAGGATACGATCGGTAAACTGGATCTGCGGTGGGCATCTACATGATCTGGAGTTAAGTCATTCGTAGTAATTGGATTGTCCATTGCAATCACATTAGAACTAACGTTTTGAGGCACACCGTCGGGTAAACTTTTAGTAGCATCACAGACTGTAGATATTGTTGGGATTTGCTGTTTAGGATTTGGCACTTGCGTCACATTATCTACAGAACTTTGAATATCGCTATTACTAGAAACACTATCCGTTACTCCTACCTCCTCGGTTCTCACCGGAATGTCTGACTTATTATCACTTACGCTAGTAGAAATAGTGGACGGCTCTCTTGAGTGTTTTTCAGTTACCTGTTCGTCGTCGTTACTATTAATAACAGCACTTTTGTCGTCCTTTAAAGTGTCCACGACACGTTCGTCGCTCTCCAAAGTACTACTCACTACGACTTTTTCCACTTCCTTATCTACTTCTTCTTCTTCTTCTTCTTCTACTTTATCTTCTATTTTATCATCGTTGCTATCTATGGTTTTCGCGTTATCATCAGTTTCTACTCTATCGATCGAATTTTCAGGACTTTTTGAAGCATCCTGAATTTCTTCGGCGTCCTCGTCTACTCTAACGTTTCTTTCTTCAACAACACCTACTTTTTCGGCAAAATCTTTCTCATCCATCTTTGCGACATCTTCGACATTCGTCTTCGTCTCCGCAGATGTCTCTTGTTGTTCCGTTGGTGTCAGATATGCTTCAGAAGTGTCACTATCTATGATTTCTCTATCATTTTCTAATTGAAGTTTCTCAAGGTACTTTGAATCGTCAGCATGCTCTAATGATTCCGATTCTTCCTTACCCATATCGTTTATGATTTCTGATTGCTTTTCATCATCGACGGATTCTTCCGCCTTTTCAGAACTTTCTATGTCGATTTTATCTTTCTTAGGACTCTCTTCTTTAATACTACTCGCGTCATTGTTTTCAGCTAATAATTGAGATTTATCATCGTTATCTTCTTTCTTTGTTTCAAAGTCATTAGATTCTACGGGTTCGGCAGTTTTTTCATCATTCAAATTATCTTCGTTCTTCGTCGCTTCTTTTTCAACTTCCTCTTTCTCAATAACAATATCGTCATTCGTTTTATTATTTTCATTATCTTCTATTTGATCTTTCGTAGGGACTATCATTTCCTGTTGGATACTTTCATCTTCTTTCTGTACCGTACTTGACTGAATCACCATAGTATCCGGGCTTGGACTTTTCTGTACTTCGCTATAAACATCGCTGGAGCTTTCGATCGATATCACCTCGCTGGTCTCTTGAGTTGTTGGTAAAGAAGCTACTTCACTATTCGCCTCTTCCAAAATTGTCGGTGTGTCTGTGTGAATCTCTCGTGCCGTAGTTGGCGTCTCTGGCTTGTCGCTTAATCTTGAATCTAAAGAGACTGCTTCGCTAGATTGCATGGTATCCAATGTTTCGCTATGGGATTTAACGATCGCCGGACTTCCGTCGCTTTCGGTGTTATCTATAGAGTTTAAATCACAGCTACATGTTTCCTCCATACGTTCGTTTCCTTCGGTTCCATCAAACTCCTATAAAAAAGAAAAAGAAAAAAAAATGTATTATTTATAATTAATATTTTGTATCCTTTCAAAAATCTAGAAAAAGATAACATACTTTGTAATTCCTTTCAACGTGTTGAGCTTCATGATTTTGTTGATTAGTCCAAGGCGATGGTCGATTGTAACCATTATTACCTGAATGTTGCTGATCCCAACCTGAAATTGTACTAATGGGTCTTTGTTGCCTTAATTCAGGATCCGTTATATTATCGGATCTCTGTCTTTCATAATGCTCGTACATCTGAGCGAACTGAAGTTTAAATTCCTCGTAGGATACCTTCACAAACGAATTAATATTAAAAACAAATATTACATTATTTTTAAAATCATAAACTAATTTATTTTATGTTTTATTTATTCTTTCATCTTGTACCTTTGAATGTACTATCGCCAAAGTATCGACCCAAACACGCCAACCACCATATTCGTGTTTAATAGCATGATGAAGAAGCATTCGAAAGAGGGAATAAACCATATCGGATATCTTTTGTTCTTCTGTATTTTTTGGATGGATATAAGCCATTGCTATAAGCCATTCTTGCCAGACGGACATTTGTAATACGGTTCGACGATTTTCACGATTGTTATTGCAAAGTAATGTCATATCGGAGAGAAATAATTTTTTAACTTCTAACAATTGTTCCGTTTGCTTTGATTGTCGTATCAATGTTGCTACTACTTTAAGAATCACTAAAATCAAAGAAAATTAGATTATAGTAATAAAAACGAGATGCATATAAAAGCCAATATGTTCTATGAAATCTTATTGGATCTTACTAGGATTTTCTAAACGATAATGCGACTCTGGCTCGGGATGCCTGGCATAAAGTATTTGTTGACTTATGTGTTCCGTCATTATCTGAATATATTTATTATATGATTAGATTTTCGTTAGATAGAAAAATGATTAAAATTTTATAGAACGTGAACAATACCTCATATAAAACGTTGTAAGTTGGTAAAGACAATGTTTCTTCATTTAATAATAATCTTTCGGCTAGTAGAGTATACAAATTGTGTGGGCTCATTACATCGTATTTCCTTCTATTGTAATTGTAAGTTAATTAGAACTTAGAAGAATAAAAGAAATATAACTTGAAACTTTTTATCACTCACTTATGTGTACTGCGACTAAGAAAGAATCCTAACAATTTCAATGCTTGAAGACGAATCAATTGACTTTCCGCTGCTAAAAGTTTGAAGATCGTTCTCACGCCCTGTTTCGCGTCGAACGCTGGTACCATTGAAGATGGATGCTCGGACATCAAAGAAATAAGCATTTGTAAAACGTCGTGTAAATTATCATCCTGCGAATAAATAAAATCCTTTATTTATTAAGTAATAATTGACAGCGAACTAAAGTATTGATTGAATTTTGAGAAAAAAAATTGATCGATCTCATACCTCGTGCATCGTTGTTAAATAATTTAAAATACTCTGCAATTCGTCGTCCTTCACGCCATTACCGATCATAATCAATTGTTTAAGAAATAGCAAAATATAAGAACGTATTGTCAAAATATCCTTTTGTTGAGGTCGTGGTCCGTCTGTGAGAGAGAGAGAGAGAAAAAAAAATAGAAAAAAATTATAAAGAATCAGTTAACATGATACAACAAATTTCAAATAAAAACAAAATTTTAATTGAAAATATTGACAAACATTTAAAAATGAAAATATAATAAAGCATTTGTGCAACTCACCGAGTCCTTTCGGCGTTATTCCACTCTTGGCACGGGGATTAGCAACCCAATAGTAATACTTGAGCGTGTGTACCGTTTGAAGAACGGTAGAGACGCGTCTAACGTTTGAATAAATTTGCGTATCGCTGAGGAACTCTGTGGCCAAGTACGAATAAAGCCGGGTTTGTACCGGCGCTGGCGTGTATATCCATAGAGCGGGATTAAAAAGGACGTGATCCAATAGCTGCCAGGTTAGGAATGAAAAATAAAACAACTACATCACCATAGATCTGCCTGTTCTTCGGACACACCAATCTAGCCGACTTTTATGGGATTCCTGTCTAAGACACATAATAATAATATGTGCCTAATGTAATCGATATACTTTTGGACAATTCAATTCCATCCAATCCATTTGTTTCGTCTCATACTATCGATAGATTAGAATGATACTTTTAATCGTTAAATTATACCGTTAAGTATATAAAAGAATCTAATAAAAAATGATATTAAGCAGCACCAAAATGCGATCTTCTATATTGTTAATTTTTTTTTCATTCACAATTCACATTTCTCTTTTAAATTATATTCTTTATGCGTATGTTGCGTAATACATCGTCAAAAATCGTCAAAATAAAAATATACATATAAATACAATATAATTATATCGGAGATTGTATAAAAATTATGAAAAAAGATTAATTTAGAGTACGTAGACCATGAGCTTTGTGCATAGAATACTCATGCATTTGATTTAGAAATTTGCAAGTAAATACGAGTACAATCTTTTTTACTGATTTTGTTAAGAAAAAATTATAACTTAGGATAATAAAATGTTTCTGTTCTATCAAATACAAAAAAAAAAAAGAAAGAAGAAATAAAACTTTGGTTCATTTGGTTAAAAATACAGCCAATTGTAAAACTTATTTCTAAATTTCAATTAACTTTATGTAAATGAAAATGATCAAAAAAATCTGTTAAAAAAAAATATTATTAACAAAATCAACTTAAAGCAATGTACTTCGTTCGTTTAACATTGAAATAAAATATTAAAAACACAATGAGCGATTTTTTAGTATTAATAATGATGAGAAAAAATTAGAGGAAAAGGAAAACACGTAGATTTGATAAGTATACCATTGAATCATACCACAAAATTATTATCCGATCGAGATAGGTATTATACACGAATAAGAGAAAAGTAACATTTATATATATGATTATTAATGAAAAATAGGATTAGGCAACATGTACGCATCGCATTATCGCACAAACGTAAAAATATATTTGAGTGATAGCATGTGACAGTGGTGAAATTTAGCGTCGCAAAAAAAGATAATTGAACAGTCCTTTTTTCATGTCAAAAAGCCATGGAAATTCACGCGAAGTAACATTTTGCGAAGGCGTATTTTGACAAACGGGAAGCCTTAATAGTCGGTAGATTGCATGCGATCCAAAGTTTCAATGAAAACGCTAAAGTCATATGATTAAGAAAGAGAAAGAGAGAGAGAGAGAGAGAGAGAGAATGAGAGGTAAAGTGTGAGACAGTTATAGAAAAAGTGATATGATTTTCATGCTTTTCTGTTGCAAATATAATGGTAACAATTCATACAATCGATATATATATATTCACGAAGGAATAAAATTATAAAAGCTACTGCAACTTAATTAGGGAATATAATTAATATGAAAAAATGCAAAAATACCTAATGAAGCTTTCATACGATTTTGCATGCTATTGCAGTACTTGTCAGTGCTCAAACTACGAAAATTCTGATCGGCATAAAATAGTCTAAAGGGCAATAATTAAGCTCATTGCAGCTTTATCATATTAAAATTACCAAACAAATCTTATATTCTTAAAAGAACAAAATATCCATTAGAGTGTAATTGATACGAACAAAAAATATATTCCTATATATGGAGAATAATATGCTTAATTATACAACATATCGAATTCACATCAATAAATTTATATAGGTATTGCATGAATTATTCGTTTGGGGATTTTCAACTGAAATATAATAATAGACACGGTTGGGATATTAAATTTAAATTAATTTCAAGTTACTTTGAATGTATATACGAAATGTAACACGTTATATTTAATTATAACAATTTCTACGGAAAATAAGTTATTCTACATATTACTTTCGTCATAAAATTCTAACACAACGACACTATATACGTCTAAATGAATGAAAGTAGATAAGTTCTAATTTCTTTAAGATTGCGTTCATTTTGCATGAATAAACGAATGAAAAGTTTCGAATTCGTAGCTTGTTAATTCGAAATTCTAATTTTATTTTCAACCTAAACTAACTTTCTAAAAGGGGAACTATGAGTTAATCAATACCTGTTTTAGCAACAGATCGCTGTTCGCACTGAGGCAGGTTACCAGATGTTTTGTTAGTTCTAAAAAGGATGCTAGAACTTCTGTAGTCAGATGATCTCTGCTAGCTCTCTGGAGCATGTAACTAATTACCAAAAATCCACGATTCTGTACCATATGTTGTTGAACCGTTTGAGAGCTCTCTACAAGATCACAAATAAAGCCCAACAATTTCGAACTGAAACGTAAATAAATTTAATATCAGTTTCGTGCATATGTTATCCAAATTTTACAACATGCATGTGTAATATATAATCAAATTTTTTTTTCTACCATAATGTAGGATCTCGTTTGATGTCATTCGGTGCTATACAATCGTAAGGCATATCTAATTGCGAAAAGAGAGGAAACAGTACTTGGATACCACCGATAGAATTTAATGTACTGTGTATCGAATGCGTAATAACAGCCTTGACGTCCTGCGCGAACAAAAACATATTTATATTTAATCATTAAAATATTCATATATACGATATTATCGAAATACATTAAATTTTAATATACGTACCTGAAGCATTAGAGCGTGCGGTGTATGTACAAAGTATGGAACATTTCCTTTCGGTGCACTTTGCAAACAAAGTTGAGAGTCCGTAGCCACTGGGTTGTACATGAACACAATAGCATTCGACAGTTTTCCGTCGTAAAGTACCTGTGATATCACACATATACATATTTTAATCATTCATCTATGAATTTATCTCTTCGAGCGCTTTCCATCATGACTTTGGTAATCAAAATTGTAATTATTTATTAAGTTGATTATCAAGGCTATGATAATAAACGGAAAGCGTAACACGCCCGACGGATTTTAACTCAAAGTCGGAGATATAATTGAATAATAATGTATACGCAAGTACTTACGTATATACCGCGTATGTGTATATACCTGTATATGTAAATCTCCACAATATTCGTATATTTATCCGTCGAACGATGGCAGAAAATTAAAATCGATTGGAACATGTTCGGACTACGAAACTAGCATGCGCAAGAAATTTCATACTCTACGTGGTAAAAAAATAAAAAAAGATAACGAAAACCAAACGTTGAAGACCCAACGAAACTACGTTTAATAATTAATTAAATGAAGTCATAATAATATTAAATTAAAAAAAAAAAGGATTAAATCAATAATAAATAAAATCTACGGAGTGGATACGACGGGGAAATAAAAGGTGGATTGAAATGTAGAACAAACGTGTACAAAATAATCAAATAAATACAATATATACAATAATGAATAAGAAATCGTTATATCTAAAGATAGTACGAAGCAAAAAAATAAAAAAAGAGAGAGAGAAAGAGAGAGAGAGAGACAGAGAAATAGAGAGAGAGAGAGAGAGAGAGGCATAGAAGTGGAAAGATGATAGATACGAGAAAGAATATCGAAGAAATTTGTATTTCTTACAAAAGCGAACATCGTCGTTTCTATTGAAACGAAAAATAGATAAATCTTCTTAAATTTCATTTAATTACCTCGGACTCGAGTACGCAGTATATAAATGGAATAAATTGTAAGAGAGTGCAAAATGAAATATAAACGGTGGGCGAAAATAAAACAAAATGCTTACAGTTTGCATACTTTGGTCCACCATGCTCGTGAGCTCCTGCTCATCACTCACCCTTTTGTGATTGTCTGGCAGATTCAGGTAACACTCGTTGTCAAAACGAAATTGACTCTGACGATAGGAATAAAAATAATAAATAGATCAAAAATAGAATAATCATTTTATACGAAGAATCAATAATATCTAACTAACACACCTTATATCCAGGTCCTAATCTGTGCATAGCGCATATCTGATGAGTTGTAAGTGCCTCACTAAATAGATATATCGCGCTCATTTGACCACAGAATACTCGTTCCTCGTCCAATTCCGGTGTAGCTCCGATATAACACTTGTCGAATGGCTATGAACAAAGTTTTCGAGAGTATGTATATAATATACACATAGATAACATTATCCTAACTAAATTTCGCCCTTTCTGTTTGACTCAGAACTATATTACATAATAAATCAAAAGCCGATTGTATCGCAGAAATTTCATGATTTATCCGCGTGATTAATTCACCATGAAAATACATTCATCAAAGTTAGAACGAGTAAATTTCATTTAACTTAATACAATATTTGTAATATACAATCTATTTGTGATCTTTGAATAAAAAATCAAAACAATCTAATTCAAAAGCACATTTTTTATACTGCAATTCTGTCATCAAATTTATTCCATATATGTACTTAAATTATAAAAAATAAATTATTAAAGATTACTTACGTCGTTCGTCGACACGAACCATGCCATTTCGGTACTCGAAGCCAATTGACCGTTGACTAAACACTTAATTTCGCTTTTGGTCCATCTATTATATATGTATACTACGGCGATCATATACCACTGTAAAAATATTTAACGATAGATATTAAATATTTTTTCTTTTCTTTTTAAACAATTAAATTCATTCATGTTTCGTAAGTTACGAAACAAAAATGAGAGGAAAAATTTATAAGATAAATATATATATATATATATTAAATATACCTTTCGCGGTTGAAATTCATATTTGACACAGTGCTGGAAGCCCTTGCCCTTCACTTTCATAGACGTGAGGACTAAGCAATTGCCCACGAAATGCGCTGAGTATCCTACTCCCTTACTAGTCTTGAAACTGCAATGAAAAATATAAGAAAACAAATTATAAAAGAGTTGATGTAAAAAAAGAACACACACACACCAGAACAAAATATCTATTAACCGAAGAAACTTTTTTAAAGCGTTGATCATAAAAATCAATCCTAATAGAATATTTTATTTGTTTTCACTGCCAACCTATTGTTTCCAAACTCGTGCCGGTTTTTCTACCATTTCCATGATTTTTATACGCGTTTCGACGTCATCGCAAAATTCAATTAACAAAACATGAAAAAGTATCCAGCATATCGAACGAGTAGGTAAAACAACATGTCAGCGTTCCCTCGAGGCGAAGGAGTTCGATTAACAAAATTGTTTCGCAATCACGAAAACTTCTTTTTTTTTCTTCGTGTTTACTGAATGCGAAACAAAAACAGCGATTTTAATGAAATTCGCAATCAAGCTATGGCATATAAAATTTTTTGTGCCCTATAAAAATAACAGGTTCACTGAATTTTTTTTTTTTTTATTATACTTTTCACTTTTATTATTAATATTTTATTTTTAAAAAGGCGTATTAAGGGCATGAATTTGGTTTCCGTAAGGTAGCAGGTTGCTTCAACTCAAGAGGGTGTTCTCGTAAAAGTACTTGATGGAAGAGCACTTGCCAGTAGAGGTACGGCTTTTCTCGTTCGATATTAACCGAGTTGATGGGGTCCAGACGAAACCACGTGGTGAATGTGAACCCGTTCTCGTGCGGCCACCTTGCTAGTGGAGGTAATACTATTGCCTGTAGACAAAAAGAGAAAGAATGTGTTGTGTTTATAGCTGCTATTATTTCTTTTTAGAGGCTCAATGGTACCGCCAGTTCTCTCATGCGCGAGATTACAAAAGTTTTATAAAATCTTTTTTCCACAAACTTATTATTATTAATATCGTTTGTTATTAAATACAAATCCTATAATAATAACACGATTAATAACGTTTGATATCAATTTTACTCATACATGTTACACAAAAATAATTGAAATTGTATATCGAAATAATTATCAAAGTAAAATTGAATATTAACATAGAAAGGGATAAACGTTGTAATTGTTACTAATAGTCAAGCACCATTTGAATGGTCCACTACGAGGCAAACACGTCCCACTTACTCCCGCGAACGGTTAATCCGCTACAGCTACGGGGCATCGTCAAACATTGTTATCAGGCTCTAATTGACAAGCCGTGTCTCACAACTTCGCTAAGTTCCACATCAAGTTTGTTATTGTATTAGATAACGAAGGATACTTCCACGTTCGAATCTTCGAACACTTTGTTGTTCGAAGAATATACTGGACGTTAATGAAAATATTGAAATATATTGATTTATACATTATACTCTAATACATATATAGATATTATCAATTACATTTTATTTCATAAATATTAAAATATTCTTTTATAGAATGCAGTCGTTATTAAAGTAATTTCATATTGGAGATGAAAATAATGAAAGCTGTTTTTCTTCTTTTTTGCTATAATGGTCGAGTAATTAATGTAATTAAACGGACATGTCGTATAATTGTAACTATATGAATAGATTTCAGAATGTAAAGTAATCGATAATGCCTTGTTATACCTATACAGTTTAATCTCGATTCTCAGGATTCTCCAGAGATTCAATACAAGACTTCGTCTTTAAGGTTTCGCGTTGTGGTTAAAAGGGATCGATACTCTGTCGAATTTAAACGATGTTAGTTGAAACGGGAGTTTCATGAAACAACGTGAATTCTCTTATCCGAAGTTTGATAGAGTTTAGAATCGAATAACATCTTCGATGAAGTTGTAAGGTAAAAAGGAACTGTTGTGCCATAGAAACACCGTTATCTGTGTGCGCGAGTTTTCTTAGGTATTACACGTGTGCGACGAAAGAAGAAAGCAAAATTCACTTACCGAACCTTTTCTACCAGGAAAACTGAAAAATACGTCGGGTCCATTTCGTTGCGGCATTTGACGAAGTACATTCAAAAGTTTCGCCGAATGTCGCGGCTGTAGGATAAAACAAAAATTCTTATTATAAAAAAATAAAACATTTTAGCAAATATTTTAAGAAATATTTAGATTACGTTTAAGACATTTTTAATAAATTTTATTTTCTTATTTTTTTTTTTTTTTAACATGGATATTAAAATTTTTTAATAATTTACCCATTTTCCTTTAACCGCTTTCATGGCGCCGAAGAGAAGTTTCAGCTCCTTTACGGTAATACTGTAGCTCGCTAATACTCCGAGCATATCGATCAATAAATCTGCGTGAAAGTAAATTAAAAAATTATTATAATTTTTATTCAAGTATATATGCATGACATTCCAGACTCGTGCATAAAATCTTGTTCATTATAAAAAACATTCAATTTAAATTGGAATGAAGAGAAATAATTTAATTTACCTGCAACAACAGTCTCCGCTTGCGATAATCGATGCAGCACGTGTTCTATAAGACTTACATCTGTACATGCCTGTAAATTCCGAACGCTTTTCCTTAAAATCGCAATAAATACGCTCCATATTTCGGCCTGAAACATAAAATACGAAAAATATTTTGAATTTTATAAATGTATGAATTATACTCACGAAAATTCAAGCAATTAATATATGTATTTAATTTTTCTTTTCAATATAGATAATATATTTTTAAAGCAATTATCGCCAACCTAACACTTTCCTTTCACTTCGGTGTGGTTTGTATTCTCAATTAAATTTGATTTATTCTTTATGAAAATAACACCATGATAATCCAATGCAGTCGAGAATTCCCAATGCAATTTGCTCGATCCCAATTCGAATAGCGTATTTTCTCTTGCAAACATACAACTCGGGCCTATCGACAGTTCGTAGAGAAAAAGGAAACAATCCAAATAAAATTGGAAGGAATACATAGTAACAATTAAAATAGGAAAGGCCGTTGTGTAATTATCTTGGAAATTACCGAACTACTAAAATATTTCACTCCAGCGAAGCTAATCCAACGAATTTGCATACAACGAAGCCAATCTCAATCGATATTCGATACAAACATTGTCCCTGAATATTATTTTGAGGTACGCTTTTAACGATATTGCTGCTGCATTGCAATTTTTACTATACCCACACGCAATTTTTCTCTATTAATAACAATATTTTTTTTTTCTTTTCAAGTTTTTATTCAAAATTATTAAAAATTTACTAATTTTATCTTTCTAATATTGATGATAGAAAATATTCTACGACAAGGTAGATTTATATAACTAGTTCTTTACAGGATCAGTGCCAAATGAATTCATACGGAACATTCTAATGACTAGAGCTCTTTACGATGGGGCGTGCTCAATTAACGTGTAAATGGTTTCCAGTATTAATGAAATCTCGAAGGATTAGTAAACATACGCGACCCCCTTTTCGTAGATTCAATATTAGTATTTGCTAGTATACACGGGTCTCTTTACACATGGAAACCTGGACGTAGCCAATAGTTTCAGTTTGGACTACCACAAAAACGATAGTAATTAGGGGTGTGTTTTTCTATAATATTTTTTTCATTTTTTTGGTCATAATTTTTTGAAATGTCCTTCATTACTTTATATATATATATTTTTTAATAATAAATAAGAAATTAATAACGCAGTTCAATTCTATTAAATAAACAAAAAATTAAAATTGCTTTTAATAAGTGAGAGATAAATGAATAACGTGTTTTAACCACAAACAAAAATATTTATATAATTTAAATGGTTTAATATACTGGTTATAATTCTCTTGTGGGTACTATCCCTCTTTCAGTGGTTAGATCTACCTACAGAGTATATTCATTTTTTAAAAGATAAATCAGAAGCAATTTGTGGTTCTCCCATGAGCTCGTTTCATTTTCATTCTTCTTCCTTCTCCCCCTTTCTTGCTACATCTATTCTCACTCGTATAAAGATTCACGAGACCGGACTGGTAGTAAGTACATATCAGTCTAATCCTTTATAATAATGCCTATTATATCCTACCCTGAGCTCTTTAAAACTCCAACAGACAGCTTAACTACTGTGTTATTTCCGACAAGTGAAATTCTTCCATTGGTCGTTTATTGTTTTAACATTTTATTCACATTTTAAATACTACGATATGATATAGTTAAATCTTACAAAAATATATTATATTAGATATAATATTTAATATAATATTATTTATAATGTATAAAAATATATTAATATTAAATATATTAATAATTAATTATATATAATATTTTTTATACACAATTATTTCTATAATTATTTTTTCTAAAATATTGTTATAATAATTCGTAAATTTCATTGCAGTAAATTAAATGAGTCATTATTATTAAAGTGTTATACATCGATAATTGATATATAACATTTATATAATATTTAGATTTTTATATACACCTTCGAACATTTGTCATTTCTCTAATCGTTCAATGTTTCTTTTTCTCTTTCTTTCTTTCTTTCTTTGTTTTAGTCTCTTTTCTTCGGTTAGTCGACTCACGACCATCCATTTCGCATCGTGCATTAAAACGCACTTTTGGAGGTGGCTCTCGTTCAACGGGTATCCACTTTTCAACGAGCGTATCACGCTAAAAGCCGTAGCTACGACTATGGCAATGCCACACGGCTTTTAAAAGCTTGATTGCGACATTGAAGAGGGCCATTCTTCGAACTTGCTTCAACGTTACTTCTGTTGTCATTGTAGTTGTTACTGAAGGTATCACCCGATATATTTTTGATAGCTCATCACAAATATGTCTTCTTCTTCTTCTTCTTCTTACAAATCCTATACGTTATACAGTAAAAAGTTTTCATCTTTAAATTAATTATTATCAGCTTTTCTTCTCGAAATTTTTTCAACCCAGAAAAATAAACGAAAAAAAGTAAACATATTTCTTTTACTCTAATTCGCAAAATATGTGTACAGAGTACGTACACATGTAAATATTTTATGTAATATAATATTACACTGAAGTAATAATTCTCCACAAGGAATGCTAGAATTTCACATGGCAACAACAGAGAACCTAGTTCTTTCATAATAAATCCACTCACTACTGTCATCTAAGCACATTGTTAAAACATACAATGAACCGAGCACCAACAATATGCTTTCCTGTGCATATTTTTTTTTTTTGCATCTACCCGCATACGTGCATAATTATTGATAAATTTGTTAAATAAATAATTTTCTCTTTTGTAATAGAAAATACAAGTGTAATGAAAATCTTTTTAATCGCGTAGTTCAAATGAAGCTACAAAAATCAATGACAAGATAGTTGAGGAAAGGTATATTAATTCATAAATTTAATTTAAATGACTGTTTTTACTCAGAAACTTTCAACATTCCAAATTTTGTTGCTAAGATACTAATTGAGATATTGAAACATTCTTTAGGGTCGTATCCCTTCCATTTGTCAGATAAATCAAAGGTTTTTGACGAACTTGGGGGGGGGGGGATAAAACGAATTCCTCTGGAATATGTCCACTAGCGTGTGAAAGCGCGAGCGTTGATTAAATTTCAAGTAATTTCCTCTGGAAAAAGTCGTTCGCGTTGGATCTTCACTTAATTGCTAATTACAAAAGCGATTAGTTATACGGTGCATATTTAATTAGCACGAGTTTCATTGGTACACCATTCACTCTCTCTCTCTCTTTCTTTCTCTACACTCACGTCATTGCGAAAGATTTAAATCGAATTTAAAATTTGTTAAAAAAAAAAAAATGTCTCTCTCTATGACGATATTTCCAAAGTATAAATTTTAGTACTATAAAATTTCTCTTTAAAAAATTTACAAACGAAATTATTCTAATTTCAGCAGAAAAAAATTCGAATAAATGATAAATTATATCATAATTAATATTACAAATTGTACAATATAAAAAATTCAAAAGAAATTAATATTTAAAATAATTAAAACCGACATATGTAAAAACCACAATATATTTTTTAAATGAAAGTTATACAAAATTTCATATCTGTTTAAATAGATATGGTTTGTAATATCATATTTTTGTTAAAAGATAAAGAATAAAGGATAAAATGAAAATAAGAGGAAGGAAGGAAGGTAAACGAGGTTAAACAACGGACCAGATAGAATCTAATTACTAAGTTGGTATTAATTAATCCCTTATAAAATTAGAGTGGCTCTTCGTTCGAAGACGATGACGACGACGACGACACAACGAAAACGACTACGACTACGATAATGTCTAGAACAACGACAACGACAACGACAACGACAATGACAATGACAACGAAGAAGATTGTGTTCTGGTTTCGTATCTGATACCGTTCCAAGATCTCCAATTCGATCTCGATCCGCAATTCTCGCTAGTTTCATCAGATTCGTATTCCGTGCACGATTACCATCGACGTTGCCTCCTTTCGAATTAAATTACCGATTACATAATAACACAAAGGGACTTGTACCTTCAGATTTTCTCGAATATTCAAGCTTGTATATCCTGTCGATACTTAGATGTTAACTCGAACAAGCCATCAAGTCTGAATAATCGATAATTTTCTTCATAGAAGCAATCTCCATTTTGGATCGATTTTTGTCATTGAATGGATCGATAAATATTTCCAATATTTCTCCATCTAAAATATCTTCTATTCAATGATATATATATATATATATATATATATATATATATATATATATATAATACTAATCTAAACATTTAATCATAATGTACTTTCTCCATCTAAAATATCTTCTATTCAATGATATATATATATATATATATATATATATATATATATATAATACTAATCTAAACATTTAATCATAATGTACAAAAAAAATGTAAATTAACTAATGTTTAAAATTATGATTTTTGATTTATATAAATCTTGGTGAAATTCTTCTTCTGTTTCCTTTCAAATACATATATCTTTCTTCACGCTATCATTTTCTATTACCCTCTCTCTCTCTCTCTCTCTCTCTCTCTCTCTCTCTTTCTCTCTCACTTTGACGTATATTTTGACTAGATTCGATTTCTATCCGTTTTTGGCCATATTGTAAGATTACATGATAAGGAAAGATGATACGTGGAATAGTTTGTTTACTTTAACCTAAACAGATCTTATTTCATTCAAGAGAAACCAAATCAAAACGTTATCTTATCATTCATGTATGTATATACACTCGCATATTACAAACACATATTAAAATAATAAAACTTATGTGACACTTTTTTTACGTAACTAGTAGAATTAAAAAAAATATCATGTGGGCAGATAACACGTGTTAGAAGTAAAACCTTCGAAAAACTAAGTTTCGAGAGAATGAGACGACTGCAGAATAGCAGGAGTAGGATAATTGTAGGGTTTATTTGTTATAATATTATTATTATATTATTGTTATCACATTCAAAAATTATTATACGTTCTATTGAAAACATATATAAATAGATAACATATTACACAGCAAGTAAGTTCTCAATTCAAAGAATTGAGTCGCACTCAAACACACACATATACAACCAGGAGCGATAACTACGAAGTATAGCATAAAGAGGAGACCGAGAATAGAAATAAC